TTCTTGTCTGCTTCCGTTCAGCGTACTTCTACCAGAACAATCCGTTATCTGTGCAACGAAACCCGGAGCGGGTAACACTTCCCCCTTCGATGAAAACGACTTAACCCGGTTAGGCAATGCCATGAGCTGAGACCATTGACTTGACTGCTGGATCTTTTTTGTTTTGCGCGGCAAATCGCTTGACGAGCGCTGGCACATCTTCCAGCAGGTTCTACACGGGATCCCATGTGTTCTCAAGCTCACATAACCCACGCCACTTGACCAAAAGCTGACGCATCGCGCTAGTCGCGTCGTAGCGAGCTTCCAGCAGCTTCTCCACAACATGTCCTTCACTGTTGTGCGGGACGTGAGCGAGAAGATCCTCCGTGATCCTCAGCGAAGAATCCGCGTAGAACGTGAACCGGGTCGCATGAGCTTCCTTTGTTTCTCCAGTTAGTAAGTTCTTCGATGTGAACACCCAGTTCGACGACGTGTCAACAACTCTAGCGATGCCGCACCACATTACCCGAAGCTTCGAGCGACGATGACTCCAAACATCCGCATACAGAACAAAGTCCCCAATTGCGAATTGCGCCATCTTGGCACCGCGTTTGAGCGCTTTCGCTCTCCCCTTTCGTTGCGCTGCACTTCGTCCAGTTGCCACTCACTTGTGTAGTTCTTCGAGAGCCTTAGCCAATTTAGCGAAATCAGCTCCACGAATTGCCCTGACCTCGTCCAGACTGGCCGCTTCCATGCCTTCAGGAGTCACCACTGGGTCCAGCGGATTAATGGCGGGCAAACCTGTCATCGCCGTGATCGGCGCCACTCCTCCAAGCGAATCGGAAACAGATTATTAAGCTCCAACTTCACTATTTTAATCACTTTGGGCCAGTCCGTCTCAGGTAACCGCCACTCAGACAACAGCGCCCGAACAGACCGCAGCACCTCACGCATTACCACTTTCACCGTCCCATTAGCCCATGGGGATCGTGCGGTGGTAAAATGGTGGTGTGCTCCCAATGCTCGTTGCAAATCCGCAATTAATGCATTCTTGAAGTGTATGCCTTGGTCTGAGAGTGTAACGGGGTACGTACCCCAGTGTACCCAAGCTACATGAAGAGTGACCCGTCACTCTTGTAATACCTGGTACATGGTACCAGGGGCTCTAGGAGCCAATCATTGCAT